GGGGGGGGGGGGGGACATCAGTGTGAGAGAGACCCACCTATTGGTTGTGTGCCCTGACCAGTGGGGATCAAGCCAGCAACCGAGATACGTGCCGTTGGTTTGAATCAAACCCAGGACCCTTCAGTTCGCGGCCGACACTCTAACCACTGAGCCAGACTGGCTAGGGCTCCTTCCTTTTTTAAGGCTGGATAATAGTCCATTGTCTGGATATGTCCTGCTTTCTCCAGTAGTGGCAGCTTACATAGCTGTAGTTCAATATCAGAACTAGGAAACTGACACAGCTACATTCTGCAGTGTTGATTCACATTTCACCAGTTTCACATGCCCTCATTCACATGTTTGTGTAACCCCACACAATTTTATCCCACGTGTAAAGTCTGGTCTGTCACAGGCTTTCTGATGCATCCTTTTTACAGCCACACCCTCTCACCTTTTACAAATTCCTAGTGAGTTAGTTCCTCAGGGTGGGAAGCTGAATCGATTCAAAGGTGTATGGTATTGAAGATATATGTGAATGTGTTTACCTATGGAAATAACCTATGCGGTTATTTGCAATCAACCTACTATCTCATTAATTGCTTGGGAAGACAGGAGGGTTTTGGTTAAGTGTTTATGACTTTCATTCCTCAACTCATCTCATCCTCATGTGAACCCTGCTCAGTGTGGGGAATACAATTGCTGGTTTGCAGAATAGGAAACTGCTGCTTGCAGTGAGTCTAGACCTTGTTCCAGATTGAAACCAAGCCTTCTGGGTTAGGTAGTCTTCGCTCTGGAGCAGTAGGTAGCACCGCCGAGCAAACCCCTGAATTCAGAGAATGGAATCCAAAGAAGGGTGAGGCAGTTTGGGTGGGCACCTGGAAGAGGTGGCAAGGGAGGGAGGAGCCTGCAGAGACCAAGGGGGAGCAACCAGAAGGGGCAGCCAGCAGAAGGCAGTGCTATGGCTGCTAAGGAAAGACAGTGTTCCAGGAGGGAAAGAATGGTCAGCTAAGAGGTCCTGCAAGATGGGGATTAACACGGCCAGAGGAGGGAGACAGTGAGGGAGCAGAGAAGAGGGTGTTCCTAAGCTCCCCAAAGAGGTTTTACTTGAGGGGAAGACAGCTTGATAGCTGCTTTTTATTTTTTAAGATTGGAAGGAACTAGTAAGAAAAGAAGGACAGAAAGGGAGGGTGAGATATATGGAACCTATGGCTGGATCCAGGGGTTCCAGCAAATGACTCGGTCACTCCTGTTCCCTGCACTTGTTGGCTCTGGCACCTGCATTCTCAAGCAGGCTTGCCAAGAGCACTGACAAATTTTCCTAGGACGCACTTCCTCCAAGCTGGCCAGCCCAGAAAAAAGGCCTTGCTCACTATAATACCAGCCAGAGTCCTAGGGAAGATTCTGATTGGCCTGTTTGGGTTATGTGCCTATCCCTAAACTAATGGCTCTGATTCAGTCATAAAGCATTCTGATTGGCCAGTCTGGGTTGGGTGTGGGGCCAAGTAATTCATAGCCCCACAGGTGTATGTGGGTAAGGTTTCTCAGGGATAAGATGTTGTTTCCAAAGTGCTCCTTAGAATGAGGGGTGGTAGGTTACGGTGGGACACAGGGGCTTTTAACCTATTGCTTAAAGTCTGTATGATGTTGAGATTCCCTCTATTGTCTCGTAGGTCTCAAGTTTGACATGAAATACATGAATTTCCGTGTGAAGGCCTGTAATAAGGCAGTTGCAGGCGAGTTCTCCGAGCCGGTGACTCTGGAGACACCAGGTGACTGGCTTTCACACCTACCCTGGCTCTGACTCTATAACCCTTCACTTCTGGGGCCCCAAGGACTGGTGTGAAATGAAAATCTAATCAGGATTTTGTGGCCCTTTTTGCCCTGGCTCCCAGAAGGCTCAGAGCTTAGTTTACAGTAGAATTCCTCAGTGTCTGGTATGAACCTGCTTTTGTTCTTTGCTTTTGCTATTGATCCCTTTATACCTGGATGATTTACACACATACACACACACACTCTCTCTCCCTCTCACTCTATAGAGTTGGGGAGGGTGTATCAGTAGCGAAGACAGATTTCTTAGCCTCCCAGTGACACCTTTGCATGACCTGATAGGAAGTCCTTTTGCAGTCTAGCTGAACTCTGTCATATTGTAGCCCAGCCCCTTTCCTGGGATTAATCCCCAATGGAAGCACAGGGCAGCACAAGTAGTTTGAAAATGGCTCCAGACCTGGGAAACCTTTAGATAAGAAGCCCTTGGCCTTGACTCTGGCTGTATGCTCTGCCCCCTCCATCTTTTCCCATCTTGTGTCTTTTGGTGTCTTTCTGCCTGTTTGTCTCTGAGACTTTGTCGATCTCTTTCTCTCTGTTTCTGTCTTGGTCTCTGTTTCTTTATCTCTTTCTGTTCTCTGTCCCTGTCATGGTCTGTCTTGGTCACTGTCAACGTGTCTCTGTGTCTCTCTGGGTTTCCCCATCTCTGTGACTCCCACATCTGCCCCAGCGTTCATGTTCCGCCTGGATGCATCCACATCCCACCAGAACCTTCGGGTAGATGATCTCTCCGTGGAGTGGGACGCCATGGGCGGGAAGGTGCAGGATATCAAGGCTCGAGAGAAAGATGGCAAGGGGCGGACAGCGTCTCCCGTCAACTCCCCAGCCAGGTAACCTGCCCCCTCCCCTCCCTAAGTCTCTGGTAGAGGAGATCAAGGTGGATGTGAAAGAACCACCCAGTGTGGTCAAGGCCGGGGTGGAGTGAGGGACATGGAGCTGGAGAGCCAAAATCGTGAATCAAGGAGAGGAGACTTTGAATTGGGTATTGATGGTTGAAAAGGAGTTTTCCAGATGAGGAAGGGCACAGGGATGTTCTGACATGAGGGGCCCAGTATATGAAAAGAACCAAATACTGTCAAGGACTGACAAAAAGTCCACAGTGGCTGGGGTAGACCAGAGAAACACTCCTATGGGGGAGGTGAGGGCTGAACAGAGCCCTCCCTTCCCTGTCACCCACAGAGGTACTCCATCTCCCAAGAGGATACCCTCAGGTCGTGGGGGACGGGATCGCTTCACAGCTGAGTCCTACACAGTGCTAGGTAAGGAGGGGGAAGTCAGGAGGAGAGTGGGGAACTCTGGTCAGGGCTCCGATGGTGGGGTGTGGGAGAGAACTCCTTCAGCTGGGGAAACAAGCAGCCATCAACAAAGCTTCTCTGGGAATGGCCCCAGTAACATGTGCTTGCAGTGCTGGGGGAATGAGAAGGTTTGGGGGGAGCCAGAGCTTATGGAGCTGAGGAAAAAGGCTCTGGACTGGGGAGTGGCTGGTCAAGAGCTTGAGGGGGGATTTCCTGGGGTCTGTCAAGTAGTTGGGACTTGGGAGTAGCTGGGATTTGGGAAGTAGCTGGAAATAATGATTGCCCTATAGAGCAGCTGGGTTTGTGGAGGAGCTAAAGAAAGGCTAAGGGTGTGTGAAAGTGACAGAGAGAGGGTAGCTGGTGTCAGAGAAGTTGAGACAGTGCTTAAGATTGGAGAAGTTAGCACCACAGGAATGATTAGATCCTGTGAAGGAGAAGCTGGAGTCCATGAAGGAACTGGAGTTAGGGAAATCACTATCCAGAAAAGGGCTTGAAAAAGAGGCTGAGGTTTGAAGAAGTTGGTGTGGTCAGTATTATCAGGAGGTAGAGGGAAAAGGAAGGTAGGGAGTAGCTGGGTTTGGGGGATAAACTAAGGCCTGAGGAGAAATTAAGGTTCTATGAAGGATTTAGATTTTCTGGAAAATTTTGGATTATCCAGAGTTGGGGTTTGGAGAGGAAGCAGGGGAAGTTGTGGGAGTGTCTGCAGAATGTCTGAGATTTGAAAGGGAGCTGTCTATCACCTGGGAGGAGCACAGACTAGTTGTGGTTGGGAGAGTAGCTGAGGTCATAGAGGAGCAGGCCTGGAGAAGAAATGTATCTGGAGGTTAGTCCTGTGACTGAGGAGGAGCTGAGCTCTCAGATGGAGATGAGCTGGGATCTGGGTGAGGCAGGAGTATGCAGAGAAGCTGAAACTCAAGAATAGCTGGATTGGGGAATAGCTGAGATAGCAAGAATTTGGATTTGGGTCTGGAAAGGATGTAGAGTCAGGATTCAGCTGATATCTGGAGGGCATCTGAACCCCAGGAAAAGCTGAGACCTGGAAGAACCTGATCTCCACCAGGAGGAAGCTGGGGGTCTGGGAAGAATCTAGATTCAGAAGCAACAGGAAGGAGTCCAGAGTCCTGATCCAGTTTCTGGGAAGAATTGAGAACTGAGGAGTAACTGAACATGGGGAGGAATTGGAAGAAGTTTCTAAGCCCTGGAAGTATTTGGAAGGAGGATTTTGGACTTGTAGAGAATCTGGGCTTAGCATCTAGAGGGAATTGATGAATCCTGGGGAATACCTGGAAGGAATAGCTGGGGACTGAAGAGTATCTGGAGGGAGTAGCTGTGGTCTGGGGAGTACCTAGGTGGCTGCCCCTTTATGGAAGAGCGCCTGGGACTCTATTCTATCCAGTTCCCACTGCCCACCCTGCCCCACAGGGGACACGCTGATCGATGGCGGGGAACATTACTGGGAGGTGCACTATGAGCCAGACAGCAAGGCATTCGGCGTGGGGGTGGCCTACCGCAGCCTGGGCCGCTTCGAGCAGCTAGGCAAGACAGCGGCGTCCTGGTGCCTGCACATCAACAACTGGTTGCAGGTCAGCTTCACCGCCAAGCATGCCAACAAGGCCAAGGTGCTGGATGCCCCCGTGCCTGACTGCCTGGGCGTGCACTGCGACTTCCACCAAGGTGACCTTGGGCCCCAACTGGCATCTCCAGCCACCTCTGCCTATCTGATCTCTCTGCCGCAAACCCTCTTACCGGTCCCCTGTTCCTCTGCCCTCCACCCAGGCCTTCTGTCCTTCTACAACGCCCGCACCAAACAGCTGCTGCACACCTTCAAGGCCAAGTTCACTCAGCCACTGCTGCCTGCTTTCACAGTAAGGTCTCCTCCATGGCCTGAGATGGGAGGGTGGCTGTGTGCTGACTTTGCTGCCGAGCCTCTTCTCTCCCTTCCCTGTCTCCCAGGTTTGGTGTGGCAGTTTCCACGTGACAACAGGCCTACAGGTCCCCAGCTCTGTGCGCTGCCTACAGAAGCGAGGCAGTGCCACCAGCAGCTCCAACACCAGCCTCACCTAGGCCAGTGCACCCAGCTGGGCTTATTTTGGGAGCCACCACCAGGCCTCCGCTGTTTCAGCCAGACACTCTCCTCTTGCTGCTTGGAGCCTTAACTCCTAATGGGGGTCACTAACAGGAAGCAGGCACCAGGACAGGCCCTTCTCCCCACCTCACTTCCTAATAAAGGTCAAACACTGGCCAGTTGTGCTGCTGGTTCTTTGGGGCTGGGTGGCACTGGCTGTGCCCTGACCTTTTCTGGACCTCAGCTTTCACAGCAGTAAAATGGGCTTTTCTGGCAAAGTCAGATGGCAGTTTTTACTGAGCTGAGGACCTTTAGGAGTGAACAGAGCCAACTGTGGGCAGGCATCTGATGAACACCTCGCTGCCCCCCTAAGTCAAGTCACACTCATGAGCTTGGGGTCACTTGAACTTTAATTCTGGGAGGAGGGATCCGTCTGACTGATGTGCCAAGCTCCGAGACTGGCCCGTTAATCCCCATCGTGCCCAGCTGAGTGCTCCAGTGCCCGCCGCCTCTGCAGTTTCTCTTCCAGCTCTGCCGTCACATTGGCCAACCCTGGGGGGTGGGTACCCTAGGCTTCAGCTGTGCCCAGAATCCCCAGTCCATGCTGCCCCACCCCCATCCACCCAAGACTGGCTACAGAATGTGTGGGGCCCAGTTCAAGATAAAAAGGTGTTCAAGAGGCAGGAGGAATTTTGAGATGGAGACAGCAGAACATTAAACCAAGTGCAGGCCCTTTGGAGTGCTGGGTCCTGTGGGACTGCACAGGTCGCACGCCTGTGAAACACACACCCTCCTGCATTGGCCCCCAGGCTCGTACCTGTTGTGGGGAAGACAGCCTGTGCTGAACTGATGGCCAGCTTCCTGGCCAGGCTGCTGGGAAGGCATTTGGGCTCTAGAGGAGAAGGCAGATAAAGGCTGAGAATGGCCCTCCAATGGAGGGAGGTGCAGGGGAAGAGGGTCCCCTACCTGGCTTAGGTGGAGTGGGTGGCTTTGGAAGCTTTGCATGACCCTTCGGGGCTGGGTGACATTTGTTGGGCTTCAGGACCCCTGGCCAACCAGGGGAAAGCACTGCATAGACAAAAATATGGCGTGTCACCCCTGGCAGTGATCCTGCTCCCTCTGCTCCTTCTCTTAGCCACCCCTGGTTCCCCACCCACCATCCCCGTTCTCGTATTCGGTAGCTGGGGCATCTTCAATGGGGATCACATAGTTCTCATCCGGGTTCAGCAGCGGGGGCAGCTTGTGCTGGCTGGGCACAGGCATGCTGGTCACAGGAGGTAGCTGCTTGGGGCCACCAGCAGGGCATGCAGGACCTGGTGGGAAACAGCAGTAATTTTTGGGACCCACATGGTGCAGGGATACCTCCTGGTGGGTCTGTGTGCTTCTGAGCAGGAATGTGTGTGTGCGTGCCTGGATACAGGTATGTGCCCCTGTGCACGTGTGTTTGTACACATGCCCATTTATAAGTCTGTGTTTTTGTGTCCCTGTGTAGCATAAACATGTATACTGGGTGAGTTTGTACAAGTTGAACATATATAAATCTGTATATATGTATGACAATGCATATATGCTAAGGTCTGTGCCGGGGTACTCATCTCCATTCATGTGTACATTCATGTGTCCATAAATGTCTAAATTTGTGCTGTGCACACATGATTGTGGCTTAAGGTTTGTATGTGTGCTAGATGGAACGGAATTGTGACACGTATTCATGCATGTGTGAAGCCGTTGTCTACATGGGTGTCTACATAAGAGCTTCTGATTATTCAGGTGGACACAGTCCGTGTTGGTGATTGTGGCATGTGTGTATGTATGGGTACATATATGTCCATTGTGTACCTGGGGCTCCCAGCATATGCCTAGCCCTGGGCAGATCATACTGCTTTCAGCCTTTTCCTCCTCCTCCATAGCTGGACTGCTTCCCATCCCTTTCCCAACACCCACCCTGATTTCCCACCTCTGGGTAGGTCTTACTCCGTGTGCACCTTCTGCCCCCCTCAGTGCCCATCTCTGCCTATTGAAATCCTTTGAGAACTTCAGCAAACATCCCCTCCTCCAGGATGCTTTCCCCCTACTCTGCCCCCCCTTCTCCCCAACTCCAGGTACCACACCTAGAGCCAGGTTCAACCCCACAGGGCTAGGAGTGTCTGTGTCCAGCTCTGTCTGTCCCCTCTACAACCTGGAAGTCTCCAGAGGGCAGGGTTTGGGTAATTTCTGGGTACAAGGTTGGGCACAGGAGGTGCCATGTGTGTCCTAGGTTTCTCCCCTCAGCCCCAGTGGTTGCCTTGGGGAGGGGCATCACCTGGGCAGTGGACCGCGGGTACCGAGGGCGCCACCCACACACTCTCGCCGTTCTCTTTATCCGCCTGCACATAGCCTAGAACAGAGAGGGCTGCCTGGAGGAGCGCGACGGCCCGAGGCTGACCCAAGGGTGTCCCAAAGGCGGGAGGAGGGGGGACGAAAGGGTCGGACCCCTGAGTCTCCTGAGTCCTCACCCACCTAGGACCTTCTCGTAGTCCTCGTCCAGTAGGAAAGGCACCAGCACCTTCTTGGTTTGCAACACGAAATAGTTGACCACTGCCTGGAGTGAGTCGCAGGAGACCTGGGAGCCGATGAGGGGTCCGGTTAGGGACGCTGGGGAAGGGGTGCCGACCCCGCCGGTGTGCTTCCCGAGACCTCGCCCCAATGCTCACCGGCTCCTCCACGTCGATCACGTACTTCGGGCCCTCGCGCTTCACCTTGTAGTGCCGGACCACGGGTACCCTGCGCAGGCAGTACCCACTGGGTGCCCCGGCTCAGGCCAACGAAAACCCTGCCCCTCAGCCGGTCTCCGCCCCCATGAAGGGCCGAACCTCCTCCCCTTCCCCGCACGCCGACCACGCCTATCTTGGCGGGGCTCTCCGGGTAGACCAGGCCCTCGAGGACCGCACACCCAGAAAAGATCCCGCCCCTAATCCTGGCACTACCCGCAGGAAGACCGAGTTCCATTGGATTCCACCTACAAGGAACGCACCGCCCTTCTTCCGGGCTCCGCCCCCGGGTGCTGGCTCCGCCCCCGGGTGCTGACTCCACCTTGGACGTGACCCCGCCCATAACCCTACAGGAGCGGACCAGCCTCAGGATTCCACGTCCCGTGACCTCTGGTCCCGCCCCCAAGTCTTCCCGGGTCCCGGCTACAACTCAGTCGCTAAGCCGCCTCGCTCTAGGATCCGGCCCCGCCCCCACGCCTGACCGCGCCACGCACGGCCCTCCCCCGACGCCGCCCGCCCCTCCCT